AATTAGCGTTTAATAAAGTTTTCTAACTAAATATTTAATTAGTATTAGATTTTATTAAAAAAAAATAAAAATATAGAAAATTTTTATTTTTAATTTTAATTTTTTAAAAATTGGGTCCACCTGACCTAATTCGAGACTTGTGTAGGTAAGTCATGGATTTACCCCTTTAACTCGATACTTGAAATGACCAAATTTGAAAAACTCGAGATCCAAGATGACCCAATCCGAACCCACCCAATCCGAACCCACCTAATCCAACCTGTTTGGCAAGTTAAAGTGTCGAAGGCAAATCATTTTAAGGACATTAAGACCCAAACTTCTTTTTACACCATTGTGGAGCTAATGTAGATAATTTCTCATTTTTTTAATATAAAAGGAATTTTGAAAATGATAATTAAAGAAAAAAAAGAATTATATCTCTTGTTTTGTAATTCGGATCACTTTAAATTGTAAAATAAGAACTATTGAATTGAAGAAAATCCAATATTAAAAGATCCACCTACATTTAATAATTAAAATTATGTAATTCAGTATAATATGAATTACAAAATACCTTTTTCAAAAGAAAAAAACTATAGTATTACTTTACTACTTTAATAATAGGATTAGGACTTGTGGTAGAAGATTTAAAACTTAATTTTCATGAAAAATAAAAGTAGTTAGGACTAAATGGAATCTTCATAGCAGAATATCCAAATCCACCTTCAAAGTAGTAAGGATGAATTCACCAAAAAAAAAAAAAAAAGAGACAAATCTACTTACAAAGTTTTTGATTTGGATAAATCATCTAAAATTTAACATGTAATATCATTTAATGTCAACAATTTGTTAATTTGTTGGGTTGCTGATAAGTTTATTTTAACAAACTATTGAAGTCAAATCACGTCATAAGTTAAATTTAAAGTAATTTATCTAAGTTAAAAACTTTATAAATGAATTTATTTTCCTTTTTTTTTGGGTAAATGCTAATTTTGGCCTCTCAACTTTATAGTATTGCACTTTTTTTATCCCTCGATGATTTTTTGCATTTTTTTATCTTTCAACTCTAAGAACAACATAATTTTGGTCCCTTCATTAGTTTGAGTCGTTAACTTTGTCCATGTGGCATTTTTTATATTTTTTTGATGACATGGATGATACAACTTAAAAAGGATGATGAAATGGACAAAACTTTATAACATGTCATATTCTTGCGAATCAAACACTCCAAAATGCCCCTCAAATGGGTCCCACATTACACTGCAAAGATTAAATAAAGGGATAAAATATCTATAAACCCTAGAACGCTCTCTTATCTCCACTCCATTTGCAACATTGATCTTAACCCATATCTTCTTTTCTTTTCTCAAGGGAATCTTAAGAGATCTAAATGAAAGGAATTCAAGATGAGCTTTGCTCGAGCTGGGTTGCCTTTACTACTACTGGGGATGAATCCTTACCTAGCACATCTCATCAAATCAAATTAACATCTCATCAAATCAAATTAACCTCTCAATAAACAATGTCAATCAAATTCTAATCAAATTCCAATAAAAATGCAATCAAATTGTAATCAACTCCCAAATTTATCAAGAATTGGGAATGGAAATCGAAAGAGGAGTGAAAAACATGGTGAACTTGATGAACCCAACTCTAAAGAAGAATGGATATCAAGAGAACCTAGGTCTAAACCTAGCAACTGGGTTTCTTCAAACCTAGTAGAGGAACCTAGGCAAAGTTGTGTTCAATTCAACTCCACGGGTTGGCTGGTTGGAAGGGATTGCTTTTTGCCGTCTGTCTTTCCCTTTTCTCTCTCTTCTCTTAACAAAGTAGGAAAAAGTCACACTTTTGGCTTGCTACAAGCTAGGCTCAAGGACTACAGTCAACCACTTCCCTTGTAGTCATCAGCTCGTTCTTGATAGATCAGATCAAGCATTCATAATCTGGAGTAAAAGGATTTGAATCTTTGCATGCCGGCACCAAAAACCGATGCTTTACCACTTGGCTATACTCCAAACGACCTATTTTGGACAGTAAGAACGAGGAAAGGGGGAAAGGAGAAGTAGGGGTCAAAGAACGAGTCGAGTAGTTAGGTTCAACAGAGTCCAACTACTAGGTTCCATGGAAATCAAACCCAATTGTTGGGTTCGATTCCACCAACCCAGAGATAGGAAAGAAAGAAGGGTAAGAAAATAGATCGAGAAGATAAGGATAATAACATAATTTTGTTTGTTTTTATTTTTTTTATTAAAATATAAATACTTATCTTATGTGGCTTTTTTATTTGTCCATGTAACATAATTATAAGGTATGTTATTGCCACATCATCAAAAGAATTAAAAAAAATGTCACATGGTATTATTTAATGGTTACGTCATGTTTAATTGACGAAAGGATCAAAATTATATAATTTTTAAAGTTGGAAGATAAAAAAAGTGCAAAAAGTAATTTAAAAGATTTTTATTATTAGGAGGTTTTTTTAAAGTCAAATTATTATAATAGAAAAAGATTTTAAAAGAACAAAACTATTTGACTTAAAAAAGGTGTAGAGACTATTAAATATACAGAAAAAAAAAAGACTTTAAATTGATTTTAATGTTTAAAAATTTTTAAAATGTAAAAAATAAAAGAAAATGAATCAATTCAAGTTTTAATCAAAATTTTACCAAATTTAACTAATTTATTCAATTATTAATTAAAAGTGACCAAATTTTATTATACCTTTCACAAGACTTCACTTCCAATTTCTTGAAACTATTTAAAAACCCAAAATTCCTTCAAATTATATAAAGAAAAGTTACAATTAGAATTTGATTCATTCCAAGTTCTAAGGCTAACAAACATTATTTTCTTTTCCCCAATTGAGGATGAACGAATAAAAATATATATGGACAACAAAAAAGTGCCCATTAAAGAATTAGAAGACCCAGTTGAGTTATCATCAAGGCCATGGCTGCACACCACTTCAAACCTCAATATCAGCAGCAGACATTACTGGAGACAATTTCGAAAGAAACGAACTCCCTGTACCAACAAAAATAGGTGACAATAATAAGAAACCAGTAAAGCACCTAACTAATGCACCAAGAAAAGAGTTCTTACTTGCAATGCAAATGTGATGTCGGATCCATCTACTTTTAACGTTACGCTTTTTAATTTGTCATCCCGTGACTGGCCTACCAATTTGAAGAGCCCCTACACATGTGAATCACATTTAGTTCGCAGAGTTGCATGGTTCACATAAAATAAACACGGATCAAAAACTTTACCTGGTCACTTAGCACACTGCACATGCTTAAAAATTCCAAGATGCCGACTGGTGGTATCTGTGCTGACTTGCAAACACCAACGTAAGATTTATTTAGCTGCATTCGCACAACAAATTTCAATGTTAATCACAGAATGCTAAATATGTTCTGAAAATTTTATTATCAAATAGAGGAAAGAAATGAACCTCTTCTATAGTTGTATCCTTCTTTTTCCCCCGAAAAAACTTTGCTGCAGAGCATAATATTATCTGCAGTCAAACCTTAGATGAGTGGAGTTGGTAGTAAGAAAAAAACGGTTGTTTTCATGTATAATTTGTTTTGAAGGCATGCTACTTGTATATTGAAGTTCATATGCTGCTAGCACAAACTTACCTGTTGATGTTGTGGAAGAGATTGTATGGTATCAACTACTGGTGATCTAAATGTCTTTGACAACGCAGCAGCCATATGATCAATCCTGACCTGAAATGTGACCTAAAACAGACAAGAAATTTGATAGTATTTTGTGAATAAACTCAGTCCAACAAATATAGACCTGTAGTATCATGTAAAATATAGATTGCTGAGAACACAATTTTACCACATTGGACATTTGTTAATGTCATGCTAAATAGCTAGACGTGGATTATGAAAACATACGGTAATGTTTTGTTGTCTTTTGAAGACTTCAAGATCTGGAGGTGTCTGCTGATCAGTGGCCTCTCCCACTGACGAACTCAGGCTGCTAGACGATTTACTCATCTCTGCCTCTAACATTTCCACTGCATTCCTGGAACAAGTGGGAAACTTTTAAGTAACACTGAAATTAATCAAGGGGGATTTTTAGCTGAGGGAAAGAATACAATGAAACACTGACCTGCATACAGAAAGTGCTTTCCTCATATCTCCGGATGCAGCTGCCACTTTCTGTTACATCTCAAATGGTCAGTATCTGATTACAGTCTCTCAAAGAAAACACAAAGATATCAATTGAAAGTTTGAAGTCAACATTGATGACTCACTCTGGCACAAAGTTCCAATGCTTGTGATTGGAACACAATATAAGGTAGTTCCTGATTAAGTGGAATAAAATTATTAGACTAATAGTACCACACCAGAACACCAAACTATAAATGGATAAAGCAAAGCAATTGAAAAGCAAAAGGGAAAAGTAGTTACTACCATGAGCCTCTCCCAAAGAATTCTAAGGATCTGATCTTTAGAGTAGGCACGGAAGGTTACAACCAAAGGTTTACCTGGAAATCATAAAGCAAACCGTTAGTATAATTTCTAACTGCCAAGCTCTTCTTATCGCATTTCCTTTTTGCAACTAATTGAAGGGAGACAGTTTATGGTCAGGAACACCTATAGCTGAACAGTTAATGGTCAATAACTTCAAGAACAGAACTTACATGTTTGCAAGAAAGGAAACAACATATGCATTAAAGATGCTGAACATTACACAAAAATAAAAAGGAAAAAACACAATTATTAAAGATGCTAAACACTATACATGTAACAGTTCCAGGTAAGAGAAAGTGCTGAAGGCAAATCAGTTTAAGGACAATCATGTGCTCACAATTCAATTACTGGAGTCTTGGAAGATGTATTAAAGATACTAAACATTATACATGTAACAGCTCCAGATGAGGGAAAGTGTTGAAGGCAAATCATTTTAAGGACATTAATGTGCTCACAATTCAATGACTGGAGTCTTGGAAGATGTATTAAAGATGCTAAGCATTATAAATGTCATACTTCCAGGTAAAGGAAAGTGTTGAAGGCAAATCATTTTAAGGACATTAGTGTGCTCACAATTCAATGACTGGAGTCTTGGAAGAAAACGATCAGCTAGATCTATGGCATTTGCTATTCCTGCAAAAAAGAAAAAAAAATGAAGAAGATGAAAATTGAATTCAGCATCTTTGGTGCATGCCTTTCATCATTCAAGATAAAAGAAAAAAAAAAAAAGTAGTTGTAACGAGCATCACGCATTCTTAATGGCTTAGTTGATAAAAATTTTACCTATCAATATACATCTAGAAAATTGAAAAGTTGTAAGCATGAAAAGATCATGAAGGACAGCCCGGTCCCTTGTTATCAAATAATCCAACTCATCTGCAATTATAACCCTACCAAAAAGAAAGCCAATCACCAGTCAGAAAAGATCATGTTTCCGGTGACACACACATCAAAATCATTTTTCATAGCCAGTTAAGTTCAGCATAATTAGATGAAGTCCTCACATCATCTTTGAGTCAGATGACTGCTGCTTTTGAGAATAAATGTCCCGAAGATGTTGCAAAGGTGAAGTTTTCTTCTTTTGTTGGTGCTTATCCGCTATCTGTGAAGCAAATTATCAGAAAATATTACATGGTCTCTAAAATATTTTTACTTTGATAAATCATCCCTAACAATAGTAAAATACCTTGCTGAAAATCTCAGTTGTGTTTGTTAAAGAAGCACAATTTATTGTTATTACATTAGGTGGCTGTAATCCTTCCTACAAGGGAAAACAAATAACTCATGAGCATTAGTTTCCCATGAGTATGTAATAAAATCATTAAAAAAAGAAAGCAAACCAGACCATTATTTGTTAAAAATCACTCAAAAGAAGAAAACAAAATGAAGGAATCAGCTGGGAACTTACATCTCTTGCCCAGTCAACCACTTGTTGCTTTACTTTTTCCATCGACAATGATTTTCCAGTCCCTGGGCATCCACATACGTACAAACTCCCAGCCTTCTCTTGTTCCAAACAAGTCTTGCAAAATTCTAAAATCCTTTTCTGCTCGTCTTCACGGCAGACAACAGTCTGTGGTGCTGTAGACACATGGAGTGCCTCCTTTACAGCACTCATTTGCCCCGGATCTGCATGTAAAATACAAATTAACACACACACACACCACTAGCATCAATTAACCAAACATTACAATTAAGAAATCCGGAAAAACGTTAAGGAAAATGAAATCAAGCTTTACCACTTGGATTCCAATTCTGTTTACGATCAACACTGTCGTGCAATCTCTTCACCGGCGATCTGCACAAGCTTGGTAATCTTTTACCAGAATCTTCCTTGCTCCCCTGTAGATAAATATAAATTAAAAATAACACAAATCTCAATCTATCCAATTGCTTAAGTTAACAAGCTAATTAGCACAATTAGATCTGTTTAATTAAAATCAATTGTCAGTGTATCAATATTCCTAGTTCATTTTCACGAATCTTATGTTCCAAACAGATATCAAGATCTAAACAATCATAAAAATTAAATCCAATTTTGACAAGATTTTAAATGAGTGCAATCGAAGTATCATATATTGAGATACAGAAAGAACAACTGACATCTAAAGGACTGTTTGGACTTGAATTCCTGCATCCGCGAAGCGATTTCAACTTAGTCGGAGTAGACGTAGGGCTGTCCTGGCCGGCCGCCGCATCAAATGTCAACCTCCGTTTACCGAAAGTGGAATCGCCTTCAGATCCACCAGCCCCGCCGCTCCTCTCCGATTTGACGGCCACAATCTCTTTCAAAGGAGACGAGTTGCGGCAATCAATTGTCGGCATTGTTCGTGAACTTTACTTCTGAGAAAACTCGAGGATTCCGTCCTCCGATTAGTAGAGAAGCCAAGATAAAGCCAAAACCGATCTATATAAGACCTGTAGCAAAGGAAAGGAAAAAAAAAAAAAATTGGAAAGGGTTGGGGTTTTTTTTGGGGGGAAAATGTGACCGTGAAAGTCGGCTCCCGCCTTTCTTTTCGTGAATTTTGAAGTCAGCCATATATGTCCAAAGCGGTGCGTCATGTGCGAAACGTTGTACTTGTGTCTGTTAAAGGCATAATTCGGCCCAATTGGAAGAAAAATTATTCGGGCCGAGTTGAGGAGAGTGGATCGGGCTCTACTGTGCTTAAGCCTGTCCCAAGTAACTAGTGAGGAAAAACAAAATAAAAATTATTTAAAAACAATAAAGACTATTGAAAGTAACAAAAATATATACCAGTATTTAAAATTATTAAATTAGTATATAAAGCAAATATTTTATTCTGAAAGAGAGATAGAAATGATTAATTAAATGGTAGCATCAAATACCATCATATTTTGGAAATACCTACATTTTTGTTTTGATATAGAGAAATTCACAAAAAAATGTTTCTTAGTATGAGTTGCACTTTTTTAATTTGTGCAATTTGGGTACTAAAATTATCAAAACTTTATTAATATATAAATATAGAGAATAGTTTTATTTAAAATATTTTGATAATTTTAGTACTGAGGTTGTGTAAAAAAAAGTGCAATCCATACTCTAAAATATATTTTTTTTATGAAATTAATGAACTTATTAAAGGAAATGAGAAAAAATCATGACCTTTTAGTAATTAAAATGTCAAAAATTGTAATAAAAAATTAAGAGTAGTGCTATAAGAACAATTTTTTTATACAATTTTCACATGTCATTAAATTCATAAATGCATTTAATATTACGGGTCCTACATAAATAAAAAAAACCAATAATTTTAATAACATATTCAATTATACAAAAATATGAGATAAAAAGGTTGTATAAAAATCATTTCTCAAAAATTAAAATATTTTTAATGAATTAACATATACAAAAGCTTTATTACAAATATCTAAACAATTTCATGACAAATATTGATATTTAAAGTGTAAAAACATCATAATTTTTACTTTTCTTCTTATTGAAAAACATCTTGTCTAGTTATATGGTGGTTCTTAGTTATACAACTTGATACAAAAACTACTGAGAGTACTTTATTACCAAAAAAAAGACTACTGAGAGTCACAGCTCACCGCACACATAGAACGACATATATAAAAAGCTAATGAATAGTTAATATATATATATACATGCACATATTAATAATAAATTAATAAAAAGCTTCCAAATTCCATAAAATGCCAAATGTATCGGTGACTTAATTTTGAGTTGGGAATTTATTCTTCGTATAGACTTGAATAGACGAGGTTGTGACAAGACTATATATATACGGGTCGGATGTATGTGGAAATTAAACACTACTCGATCGTAGGCTAGCTCCAAACAATAGCTGCTGGACGCCCACCGTACACAATTGGGACACAGTCGACGAAAGTGACCCTTTCTCATGTAGAAAACACCAATAAACTGAAATATTTTAATTCCATACTTTACCAAAATATCCCCCATCGCCCTTTCACCCAATAATCAGCATCGATCACAATGTCCCACCCCACTAATTCAATAGGTTTGGGAAAAGGTAATTATTATTATTTTTTTTTGATAAAATGTAAAGTTTTTATTAATCTAAACTGATTGTTTACAATGAAAACAACAAATATGTTACTACTTGAAAAAAATATCCAAAACAAAATGTACAAAATAACCACTATGCACAAACTTAGCATCACACTGCTATTGTTTCAAGTCCCTAATTGTGTGCAAGTGGGCAATAGCAATGATTTAAGCTGAACAAAACCCAAAATTTTGCTTTTTACATTAATCTAGATATCATGAATAAATGCATTCTCTGACTTAAAGATATACTAATGAAACCTCCTATTTCTCTCCATCCACACATGGTAGACAAAAGCATTCCATGTTAGCTTGATTAGGGTGTGATATAAAGACTTCCTTTGAATCTTAATGAAAAAGGTAATTAATGTGAAATATAATATAAAGAAACAAATTAATAACACTAATTAACTTAATTTCATCTTGCTTGGTGGTAAATGGTATGAAATATTTTAGGTTTCATTTTATCTACTTAATGAATTAGTGGATTGGTGTCCAAAATCTAAATTAACTTATATTTTCTTTTAATTACAATAATAATTTACACAAACATATAATATCTTAAAAGAAAATCAAAATACAATTTATTCTGTATATATTATATTTTATTTAACTATTAATAAAGATGATAAATACCTTAATATTAGAGTCTATTCTTCTATCATCGATGAAAAGTAGTGTAGTTACAAATCAGTATTCTCATATTATAATGGGCACTTAAGACATTAAAGGTGCATGAAATTTATCAAGGGATTTTGATAGGGCGGGAGAGGAGGAGAGAAGACCAGATATGAAGAGATAAGGATCGAGACTAGCGTGGCCTCGGCATCTAGACGTCTTGTTCAATCTGTGTCTCGACGTCTTCTGTTTTCTTCTCTTCCTCTAAATGCCAACAACCGAGTATTGACGAATTTTCTTCATTTTTCTTTCTTTTTTCTTCTTCCACTGCTTACAGCTAGACAAGGAACACACATGGACGGATTCCCTTTTTCTTTCTCTTTTTCTTTTTTCTCGATTTTATTATATGTCACATTTCAACACATCAATATTTTTCTATGGCTGTGAAAAATTGATCAGGACGACGAAATTTCCTTGGATATGATATAACATAATAAGGTCAGAGGAAAAATCAATTCTCTTAACAATTTAGAACATCTTGGAATGCCAAAAAAAATGAAATGTTACATCTCGAAAACTAAAGAAAATTAATATTTTCCAAATTAATTACTTAAATATGAGAAGATATTTTATCAAAACCTCCAAAGCACATGTATGTAGCATGTGTGGGGGCTCATCTGTACTGTAGCAGCAGAAGAATGTGCCTGGCCAGACTGAAGCGATACGTGTAAATCAAAAGGCATGCATTCTCTAATGAATTACAAGTCGTGAAGCAACCAAACGTGGCTTAAGCTCGACAATGTCGACGTGGGAACCGTGGAAACCGGGCACCTCAAGCTCAAGTAGGGCTGGGCATTTTTTAATCAAACCGATTGTTTACCCGAAAATTCGGTTCGGTTTCAATGGTTTTTGGTTTTATTTTTTTGGTTTTGGTATTAATCAAATATATTTTGGTTCGGTTTCGGTTGAGTTTTTTAAAAACCAAAAACCAAAAATAAAACCAAAATTAGGATAAAATAGATAAAATATATTAAAATATGATAAAATATAACAAAATATGATAAAATATGTGATAAAATATAATTTATTATTAAAAAATAATTAATTAATATTTATTTAATAAAAACCAAAACCGAACCGAATTCATTGATAAAAATCAATAACCGAACCGATTAGCTTATAACAATTTCAATTCGGTTTTGGTTTGCAAAATTAAAACCGAATTTTTTTGGTTAATTTATAATCAAAACCGAAACCGGTTTTGCCCACCCCTAAGCTCAAGGACTACTACGACGTACTGCGCTGCTGCTGAATGGAGAGTAAATGATCATGGAGGTTGGTGCACGCCATTATCTATATATTGTACTAATAATATTCCGTACATAAGATATATATTAGCAATAGCTGATGTGACTTGTTTGGGGAGAATAGGTAAAGAGTCCCAAATTTGAAGAGCTTTCTTTTCTATGCCATTATTGGTGGGAAATTAATATTAATGCACTTTGGTCGCTTATGTATATGATTGGGTTTTCTCTGTCATACCGTGATTGGTTCCTCCGGCCTCTTGCGTTTTGTGTTTCTCTTTGGAGAAGTACTGAAGCAAAGGGATATATATTATCCCACATGCATGCATTCCCTACCCACTTACCTCTCTCATACGATATTGACATCATGCGATTCTTTTTCAGCCCTTCAATTAATTCACATTTCCTCCTCCCAAACAGTAATATAGCTAGTTGGCCAAGTGTGCAATTAATATTTTACAGTTACTTTCATGCTCATAAAATATATATATATATATGGTATGAACTAATGAATTCTATTTTAAATCTCCGTTCATGGTGCTCCAAAAAGTGAAGGAGATTCTGAGTCATGCATTCCCAGAATTAATTAGAACAAGACAGAAACGCCAATAACTTTGTAAAGTTTCCAATTCGGCAATGTTTACAGGTATAATGAGGTACGTAACTGTGAGAGAAAACGGAGAAAATGGTTTGTGCGTAAATGAAAAGAGTTGGGGACATATATATGGCGGCTTATATTCGGGAATATTATTGGGGTGGTGTTATAAGGATGATTTTTTATTTTATATTTTTATATAATTTTTACATATCATTAAATGAATGAATACATTTGATATCATGAGTTTTTACATTTAACATAATGAGTTTTATATGAATTTAAAAAAATTAATCATTTTAATGACACATCAAATTATATAAACAAATAAAATAAAAAAATTATACAAAAATTATTTCTTATATTATTGCACCTTCAGCCTGGCTGGATGGTGGAAACCTACAATGAGAACCCACGTTAAGCCTTTGTAAACCTCGTTTGGGTCCAAGTGGCTATCACGGCCCTGCAAATTGCAGCTGATTATAGGACCCTTCCCACCTCTGCCCCAGGCTCAGCCAACTAGATTTACCATAATGTAGTGGAGTAAAATGTTGAATGTAATGCAACAATTAAAGTCAACACCCAAACAAATTACTAAATTTTTTTACGCCTGAAAGCTAACGTGAAGGGTGCATTCTTAAGATAGTTTGATTAGGAATTAATGTTAAAATACATTAAAATTAAAAGACATAGTGATCAAAATTTCAAAAAAAAATTAATGATATTCACCAAAAAAATTTTATTTTAAATTGTATAATAAAATGTAATTTTTTTATCATTTAATTTATCTTATTTACATATCATATCATTAAAATTTAAAATTTTTAATTTTAATAATAAATTATATATTTTCATTAAAAAAATATTAAATTTAAATTACATGATATACAAGTGAAATAAGATAAAAAATAAAAAATAATAA